AGATACAGCTGGCCGCCTGCTCCGGGAGAGCAGGAGCTGGAAAATATTCATTAATTTTGTTCCACGGGCTTTAGAACTCTGCAGGAAGGACCCATTTGAAAGAAGTATTATGAAACATCCCTACTTACACATTCTTCCCTTTGTCCAGCCACCAGCTCTAAGGCGTCCAGGAGAAAGGGTCGACAGCGTTGCCAAACACACCCAGCATGAATGCCCTGCCCGGCCTGGGCAGCCAGCTTGGCAATTTTGCCGGAGCACAGCCTTCAGGGCAGAGAGTGGTGGCAGAGGGAAGGGGGTTTTGTCAGGCGGCAAGGGTCTGTCCCGCCGACAGCAGAGAAGCGTGAGGAGGCATCTTCAGGGCTCGAGTTTCCCAGCGGATAATCCGTTATGCTTTGTCCTCTGTCCCCTCAGGAGGTAGGGTGGTACCCTGGCTTGTAACACACCACAGCCGTGAAACCCGGCAGCCAGGATGTGATTAGATAGCCTGAGTGCTGGCAGCCACCAGTGGAAGCACGTTTTCCACACAGCCCCCGCCTGTCACCCTTCAAAATAGCCGAGCCCAAAAGGGCCCTGGAGTTTGAAACGCCTTTGCAGACAGCGAGCAGGTGCCAGCAGCAGATGGGGCTTGACTGGAGGAATCCAACTCTCACAGCACAGCCCTTTTCCCAGCACCATCCCCTCGCCCTCCTGAAGGATGAGCCCCAGCAGAACAGGCAGGGAGCGAGGCAGGGGATGGCAAAGCAGGAGTGCGGCCTATGGTGCCCGCGGCCCTGGCTTTTCAGCCAAAAGCCGGCTGCCGAGCCTCTGCCGGCCCAGGTGAATTCTCACCACGTGGAACATCACGCCAGGCTTGCAAAGTAAATGGGGGACAACCGGGAAAAAAATGCCACCTAAACTGATACAAGGTGCAGAAAATGGAAGTACGGTGAAATCAAAGCACGAGGATGCTTACACTTTCATGTTTACGATTATTATTATCATCATTCCAAACAAACTGCAGCTACAAATACAAAGCCACGATTTTGCAAGAAGTTGGAAATCATCACACTGTTAAATGGCTAATACCTTGCTGTCTTTATAACGATCGGTTCATTTTTAATCTTAAAATTAAGAAATGGGTCTTCAGACTCGATAGCAAATCATGGAGCTGCTGAATGACAGGAGGAGAACGGTGTTTGTTTCCCAAACACAATGATCCAGCCTAGTGCACTCCATCCAATTTGAGCTCATTTTCTTACTAAATACAGAATAAATCGGTGAGCTTTTTAAAGGTTTTTTTTCTGTTGTATATTTTGCCACAGTGGAAACGCCTGCCATTCTGGAGATGCAGCTGGTTACAAGAGCAACAGCCAAAAAAAAAGAACAGTGAGTTTTGGATACGTTAGACTTAACAAAATGTCTCTCTGTGTGTTTAATTAGAACTGCTATATAATATGCTTTGATGAAATACAGTTAACCCATCATATTCTTTGAAATAATATTTGTCCGTGTAATCCCACTAAATGCTTGCCTCCCCCACTCCTCTTTCACCTGGTAGCTAAATATTTTTGTTGCCTTAACATCAGCTCAAATAATTTTATCTGTGCTGAGAACGGAAATTGTGGCTGACAGCTCAGGTTTTGAATATTAGGGGAGTTAGTGGGGCACAAGCTTCCTTGCCTGAGGCCCACGGGAAGAGATCCTCACGCTGCTGAGCTGGCGTCTTTTCAATGTGCTCAGACTCCACCGGCACGGTAAGTATTTAAATACGAGGAAATGATTAAGAAAAGAGAGCGCAACCCCTGCTCACCCCGGAGGGCAGGCGCGAGGCTGACCTGTGGCCGCTCTCCCATAAGCGTGCTGCCACGGGACGGCGGGACATGAGCATGAGCAACAGACTTATGTGGACCAAAGGGAGGGAAAGAGGAGGGACTGGACGTCTGTCTTATTTTTACGGAGCACTTGGGTGCGGTAATGAGTGCTCTGAAGTGGATGTAATGACAGTTGATGAGAAATGTGCTGTCACCTCAACGGCAGAGCCAACTATCTGCAGCCTTATTCAGGTTACAACTGTGACTTGAGCGCAATAGAAAATAGCTGTGGAAGACATGTATAGCATTAAATATTCATTGGTTTTAAAAAGAAATTAATGTACTCTTTAGGATTTAAATATTTAGTCAGCTGTGCTTGTTTATTTCCTCCACCCCTACTTTCTAAAAAAAAAGGACAAGCATTCCTCTGAAGAAATACATCGTATTAAAACATCATGTTATGCAATTTCAAGAAAGTACTTCATACCTTTAACAGAACTGACAAGTTAATTGTGATTTTTTTTTTTTTTTTTTTACTATTCAAAATAAATTCTGGTGCATTGAGAGCAAGAATTTGCACTCTTCTCCATCTGTCATTTATCCGAAGACTGAACAAGAGAGATTTCAGTACCCTTGGCCTGAATTCAGCAGATTCTATCTTTGGGAGCAAGAGCTAGGGAAGAAATACCCCTACGAAACGGTACGTTTAAGTATTTGGTCAGCAAGTGAGTTGTTAGCTCTTTGCCTGTGTGATCTTTTTGTACCCTCTTTTTGGTCACCTTCTCCAGGTTGTGCTGCTTGCCAATGAGTACTACAGCCATTGTCAAGATATTTTACGTATGGTGAGAAATAAAGAGCTTGACAAGGTATGCTTTTGCTTTAGTAACCCTCATTCTGACGACAGCAAACAACTCTAAGGGTAAAATTGTTTCTGTGTAGCTTATTTACTTGATGGTTGGATCTAAGGTAGATGATCATTTATAGACAAAAGGAGCATTCAGTCAAATTATTGGGGAATTCTTAATTAACACAACATGCTCCAAGAATTTGCTTCATTCTATATTAGGTTAGACATATCCTGAGCAGGTCTGAGCCCAGCACAAAACACAAGGTCATGGACACATATCTTTCACTAAATCCACATATCCATGATACAGTTCTTTCTCTCCTCTTTTTTACGCTGCCTTGTGAGGTTCAGCTTGTTGCCCCAGGATGCTTCCACTTACACTGGAGCCCGGCCAGGACGGGGCCAGTTCGAGTCCAGCTCCACCATCATTCTTTTGCTTCTGGGCTTGTGTGTGTTGTTTTACTGAATCACACTTCACATTTCACAAGTGCAAATTCATAAAGGACTTTGTGCGACAGGTGGAAGACTGTATCATGTCATTCTGGAGGTCTCTGCAGCCTGAAAGAATAGCACTGATGTCCTTGCCAGATGTATGCCAGCTGTTCAAAAGCTATGATAGGCAGCTATTCAAGGTACCATAGACATACTTCTTTGTTGTAATTATGTTATTAGGTGTCTTTTTGGTAGTTCTACCTGAGGAAAAGGGCCAGCTGTTTCTTGCATGCTGTACAGTGGGATTTTTCGTTTGTACCTCAAGTCTGTGCTTTGGACTCTTTGGGATTTTTTAAGGAGACAGGGGAATTTGAGATAACTTTTGCTGCTATATATTACTTTGAAAGTCCCTAATATCAATAGAGTATGCTGTTATAAACATGGTCTGTGGTTCTGGCATGAGGTTATGTGACTGAAATTTCGACTGATAACTGTTTTCCAAATTCCGAGAGTTATTTTTCCTTTGAGAACACTACTGCATTTCTTGGTGACATTCCACATAGAAATGCAGTTTTCTGATCAAAAGAATTTGATCCTTATTTACAGCAGGTCATTAAGTATTGAAACTACATTTATTTTTAGGATCTTTTTCCTTCTGCTAATAAATATAGCTTAGCTATTACTTAATTGGAAGAAAGAAAACAGGCTTCTCTACATTTACATTTAAACTACCAATACAATTTTGTTTCATGCTGCTGTAAATATCGGCAGTACCCCAGTCATGTGAAGCTCCATGAATTTGTATTCTAGGAAATGGAGAACATCCTACTTCACGATTTCCTGGAGGAGGTGCCTGTGCAACACATGAAGTCAATCAGATTGTTCAGTAAAAATGTTGAACTTTGGCTACTTAATGCTTTGCAAGAGTTTCCATTACTGCTCCAAACATCCAAGTCTGAAGGTATGTTTGAGTAATTAAAGAGATTTTCATAAAATACTATTTCCTTAAACTGCAGAGAAGATTGTGTTACAAGACTCTTACAGAAATTATTTTTAAAACTTTTTAGCTGATGCAACTTTGATAGTAGTGAGGACTAGAGTTGGTTGAGATACAGTTATAAATAAAGTCTCAGATAATGTGTGAGGACAAATTTAAGCCAAAATTATTCCAAATTCATGGTAAAATAAAGTGTACTTGAATATTTTTAAAGATCTATCTCTTGCCATAATCACTTTGGCTGTGTAGATGACTGAATAATATACAGTCTGCCCTCTGAAGTTTAGGTATTGTTCTGTCTCTTCACCTTGCAAGTGGTTTTATGCAGATAAATTAATTAATGGCTATAGCACAGTTCAATATAAAGGAAAGAAAACCCATAGTGAAACTATGACTGCTATTAAAGGAGGACTTGAAAAAAATCTGTACTATACAAAGTTGTGTGTATATGTGTGTGTTTGTAAATAGGTACATACATACATATATTTATATATGATACTGAAGATTCTGACTAAAACATAATGTTGCTCATTTGCTCACTGAGTGAAGACCAACTCCTCAGTGGTAAAGCTGGGCTCCTGTGTAGGCAAAACATTGTATTAGCATTCAAACCCTCAAGGAAGACTTGCAGACGATCTTAATTCTGGCATTTCTTACATTTGAACATCTGACAGAGCAAACTTTGTAATGTGTTTTTAACATGTGTGTGCATGGAATTATATGTAATTAGTCAGCTGTGACCATTTGTATACACATCCTAGTCTTTCTGGATTGTGCAAACTTCAGGGAAACAGAAATTTTCACTTGAAAACCATTGCCTGTCTACAGAAGTTTGTAAGCTGCTTTATAGTCGATTTCCCTTAAGTAAGAATGTTATTTTATATTTTATTCTTAAAAGGACTATTATTGGATCATGATTGTCATAATTACAGCACATTATAAACAGAAGAAAATAGAACCAAAGAAACCAACTCCTATTAACAGTGCTGCAGAATTATAGATGCATAAAGGTGGAAATGTAAACCCTCTAAACAAAATACAGGAGGTTTAGAATTAACGTTGCTTTCGTTCACCTTAATCCATACATGTAAAAGAGTATGAGTCTTGATTAAGAAGTATTTAATGTAAAAGAATATTGGAAGTGCTTTTCCTGTGTGTCATGGGTTAACAGATTTGCAGTCAAGGAAGAGTGGTGAGCTGGGCAGCTTCTGCTTGCAAGCTTTAAACTGCGACGGTCCCCAGCCCAGCCCATAACGCTGGCTCAGTGGCCATGCTGTGCCCTCCGTTAGCCTGTTGCTCCCCTAGGACCTGTCTCCATTAACGTCTTTTAGACTGTAAAATATTAATGATATGCAATATCTGCCTCTTCTTCCTTAACAGAAGTTACATTGTTTATAAAAAGACTCAGGAGAAAGACAGACCTTTCTAACATGGCTAAGGTATGTTCCAGAATCCACAAAACAAAGAAGTTGGGCATCTCATTCACGCAAGGAGCCCATCTGCAGTTTGGAGTATTTATGAGATGCTCTGTCGTAGGCCAACAGCAGCAGCACAGCTGTTCTTATCTGTACACTGACCATGGTCCACATAATTCTCACCCTCCTACCCATCTTTTCCCACACTGTAAGTATGCTGAGGGGGCCTTTTCCTCCCTCTGGATTCTGTGAAAGCCTCTGAGATATAGTCAATGGTCCCCCATGGAGAGGAGAACCTCCCAGTAGCCGGAAGGGTCAGATGACGGTTTCCAGTATCTTTGCCCAGCCATGCAAAAGCCAGTCATAGCACATGCTGGAGTTATTCTAAAATTGGTTTTACGTAGCATCCTGACCACCCTCTCTGAGGCACGCTACAGCGGCCTGCACAAGGGAAATCATTCATCTGGTGGCTGCAGAGAAGCTCCATGGCCTGGGAGCAGGCCACAAAGTCTTTAAGGGCACAAGACCCTCACCTTTTTCATGGATCCCAGGGATCAGCTGGCAAAATCTTCTCCATCCTCTGACCAGACAACGTTGGAAGGTGTGCTGCAGGGAAGCATCCTCTGAACTTTCCTCCTTAGGGTCATCACGCAGATTGGCTTTTTTCCTTGGAAAGAAAGAGACTAAAATCTCTCTAACAATTGGTATCTCTGCCTGCTTTTCGCTCTACAGTATCATTCTTCTCAGCTACAGAGGTGCATCCAGGAGCTGCATTTTTAACCATTTGAACAGTGCAAGGTAAATTGTTTCATTCCGTGCTGCATTATTACGAGGGGCTGGACCCTCCCTGCAGCGTTCCTTCCATTAGTGGCCTTGGATACTTCCAAAACCTTGGGGTTTGAGGTCGTCCAGGCCACAACAGAAGAGATAGGTCACGAATGGGGAAGAAAGCAGAAGAAAAGAGGTGGTATATTCTCTCCTCTCCTTCAAACAGCAAGTACAAGATTTTCCCAACATGCTGCCTGGCTTAAATCACTATACTGTGTCCGCACAATAAAGGGGAGGAAGGCAGGCAACTGTGGCTTCTTGGACTGTCACATTCTTCCTTAATAAATGTAGCGTTTCTTTCTGGGAAAACTTCATCAGCAACAGCACACAAAATACACACCTCACTTTAAAAAAGTTTAAAAAATAAAAATAATAATGCACAAACATGCATAGGTGTGCTAACACAGGCAAAAGGGTGACTTCTGTGAACAGTTGAGCACTTGCAGTTCCCATTTATTGCAGCAGCCCTTGGAGATACTAAACACTTGAAGAGCTCAGCTTCATGTGCTTCTAAAAAGTATTTCTTATGCATTGAAGAACGTGATCCAGCAAGACTGCAAGCGCCAGCTATTCCCAGTCATTTGCATTTGATTTACGTACCCAGACTTTACATCATCCTTCTTGTGCTCGAGCCATGTTGTCAAGGGGCTGGTTGCAGCTTTTTGCTTCTTCCCTACCTATTCCTAATGTGCGGAAAAGCTGCAGAGAGCCAACACTGAATTTACACCCTCAAGATTTAGGGCAAGAGAATTTCAGCCTAGTTGGGGTAATCCTCTAGCGGCAGCCTCCGGCTGCTCTGTATCCCCTTTCTGCTGTTTAACTGGCACAAAGTGAACGTAGCAGACCAGAGAATTGGGGTCAGATCTACACTTACAGCTAAGCACATTCTAAGCCTGGTTCTTGTTCGTGCTAATGAGCTCTTGGCACTGCTCTCATGTGTGCATGATGTTTGCAACTTCTCTAGAGCCTCTTTAAAATACAAGGGAAGGGCAAAGGGGTTCCAGCGTACCTGATGATTAGTCCCATTGGCAATTTAAAAACAATATTTTCAATAAGGGAAATTATGTAAGTCTTGTAAATGAGCATCCCCGTAGTCTTTCAGCAGTCACACAGCTTCTATTACAACTTCTGTTAGAGATTGGCCAAAGCCATGAACACTGGGCTCCAGCGAAACAGGGCAGGGAACACACACCAGCTAAACGTTCTCCTGCAAGTGCATCCCCCTGCCCGAAGCACACCAGAAGATGACTAGCTGAACACCATAGGTGTTTAAAATTTCCAACCTGTGAGAAACACGCAGGTGCTTCATGGGGAGGTGGACATCTCTCAGAAAGAACCGCTGAGTGTTTTAGTCAGTCAGACCCAGTCCTAGGCTTGTGTGGGCACTTATCCCCTTTCCCCTGGTGGCCCTCATCAGATGCTCATATGAAGTGGGTATGAGTAGAGCAAGTGATACCTCACTCCTCCTCCATTGTACTCTCCTGGCTTCCAGCAATCTGAGATGAAGTTTATATCTACACCTTGGTATTTAACAGCTTGATTTTGGCATCCACAACATCTTGGGGTAGTGAGTTCCAAGGTTTTATTATTTGTTGTGTGGAAAAGTACTTTCTTTTATCAGGTTTAAAATTTCTGCCCTTCTTCATGCAATTCCCCCTGCAAACCTCCATCACTTTCTTCCTCAGTTATTTCTATCTGAAGTTGAAGTTTATTTAATCTTCTCACATAGGAGCCATTTGATATTTCTAATAATGCTGCTCAGTTTTTTTCTGTCTAAAATGCACCTTGAATTTCAACTAGATGGTCAAAGCAGGTGACAGTGCTCCTAATGAGAAGTACTACCCAGCTGCTGCGCAGCTGCAGCCTCCGAATGGTGTAACCGCACCGTCCTTTGTAGAGTACTTTGCAATAATTTAGCCACCTGGTGAGAAAATAGGAACAATTTTGGTAGGGTCAGCATTCAAAAGAAAAAAAAGTAACTTTCCCATCATGTGTAGATAGAGCAGGCTGATAGCTGCTACTACCTGGACATGCAGAAGTAATTAGAGCATAAAAAGGTGCAAATTCCCTGTGAGAAAGGAATGTGAATATGATGCTGCTTGTTTCCTGGGGCTGATTCCTGCCTCTGGTAAGCTCTATTTAGATGTTGTCAGAGCTGACTCTAAGTCATTTAGAGAATTATATTTGCTATAGTGAAGTGCAATGGCTAAAGGCGCTAGGCTAGAACACTGGGGCATGGAGCCGGCTGGTAGTAGCATCCTAGAAGTACCAGCCCGGTAGTTCCCAGCTTTGGGGTCGTGTGTTCTTGTTGCAAGCAGCAGGTCTTCTTCTGACACTGGAAACTCCAAGTACAATAAGAAAACGGACTTCATCTTTCACTCAGCTGAAGGGGATTACTGAGTGAGGATCAGAGTGCTTTTGGTATTTCAGTAAAGCTGGCAGAATGATGAAAAAGAAAAATGGCCAGATTGGGAATTATGTGTGCAAACAAAAGGGGAGACGCATTTCCTGCTGCCTGTGGGGTCATGGTAAGCAGCTGGTGAATGGGATTTGTTAAAACATTTATGAATTCTGAAGTTTTTCTGAACTTTACAAAAAGTACTTTTCCTCTGGAAGGCCAAACTGGACTTGGATTATTCATATAAAAGCCCAAAATTCAGCAAAGGCTTTAGGATCCCACTGATTTCAGTATGGAAGTAAGAGACGTCAATTAACAAGTTTTAATGGATTCAGGTTTAATTTCCTTCACTGTTTTCATAATTTCATCAAGAATCTGAAGCAATACTGTTTGATATTAACAATTAAATAAAAAAAAAAAGTGAAGAGATGAGTATCAAATGTTAGGCTTAAAATTGTTTGCAATACCTATATGAGTAAAAATTTTTGGGACAAATATGGAGCCAGATTCATTCACAAATGACTCAGAAGCAGATAAATGGGATAAAATCCCAGCTAATATTATTTTAACTAACACCATATTTCTGATGTTATTTTTACCTTCTCAAAGGTTTGGGCAACTTGAGAAAACCTGCCTTTGAATTTAATTGAAACATGTACTAAGGACAGGTAACATTGAGGGAAAGTTGGCCCTGAAGCACCATTCCATGTTTTAGACATAATACTGTTATTTGGCGTAACTATAATAACTCTAGGCGAAAGCAATTGCCCAGGAAATTGCCCACATACTTCAAGCATGTTAGCCTTGTCCGCTCCATCACAGACAACACCACAGAGTGTCATTGAAAAGAGTATCTTCCAGAACAAAAAACTCTTGAAGACAACTTAAGATTAATCTCCTTTGATTTATTCTTTTTTTTCCCCAGTTTGGAGACTGGTTATATAAAGTCTAGTATTGAATAAGGACAGCTTTTTGACTGAGTTAAGGGCTTGAGAAAATGAAAGGCATTAACTGTTTTCTTATTATCTATAGACAATGAGAACAGTCTTGAACAGCAACAGCAAAGTCACTGTTCTGCGATCAGACTTGCATGCTGTCATCGATCAGGGATTTCTGGATCTGCCTGGAAACCTCTTTCAAAAGAAGTTTAGGAATCCGGAGGAGCTGCAGAATGACATAGAACTCAAATGTAATACTTTTTTGCTATATTTTGTCTATCCACTTAAGCCCTTGCTTGCCATTGTTAAAGCTCCAGCATTTCCTCTTGTTTATTCATGGCATCCGCCCTAATGGGAATTACAGTCTCGCTGTAAGCCAGAGTACTGGAAAAGAGCCAGTAAAATTGCGAATGGAGCATGTAATGTTATCCTCTCAACTTTAAAAAGAATGAAATGTTTTCCATTTTGACTCTCTCTTAAAGCTTTCTATGGCAGCAGGAGTGGGGTTTGTGTTACTGAATGACGTATCTTTTAGAAGGAGGTTGACAAATGGGGTTATTAATATTTTTATCATTTTCTTTGACAAAAAAGAAGCTTCCAAGAGTAGCATTTCACGTTTTCCTCTGTTATTAATCGAAGTACACAAAGCAATTTCTTGTGGCCAGAGTTTAAAATATCGTATGCTGAACTGGACGAGGACTATTGGCCTTTCGGCTTTCGCGTCCTTCTGCTGTATTGCGGCCTGTGGAATCAATGTGCTGCTGTAAGCAGTAAAATACACAGTTTGTATGCAGCCGTGACATAATGCATTTGCCAGCTTAATGAAAAAGGATGGGAACATAATGGCAAATTAATTTTTAGATCAATGGGCTGCCATTTAAATTATTAGCCAGAGACGGGCAAGTTGGACCAGGCTGTGCGCAGAACTGATGGGAGAAACCTCGGCTCTTTGTGGCTGGCCCACCACCGGCTCGCGTGCTGTCAGGGGTGTGCCACAGCCTTCCTGTGACTGCTTTCACTAGGGATAATAATTTGCCTTCTTCACAGAACCGTCAGGAGAACCATTTAAACATTTACATACATCTTAAAACAAAACCACTGTGCAGAGAGCTCTTACTACATTTGCTTGTTATATTAATGATGCTCTTCCTCTTTCCAAGGTGGATTTATTGCATTCTCTGTTTTTGTTGCCTTTCTAAACTGTTGTTTATAATAAGCAAGGTTTCACAGACTCTATCCATATGCCTTCTTGAAGGAAGATGTCTCAGTTAAAAGGGTATAAATTCAGAGAGGTGCAATAGTGATGTACCTTTTGGCACTGGGTGGTAGGTTCCAGTCTTTTGGGGGAAGAGCTGCACTGATACGTGGCAATATTATCTATAGTTCTGTTGGTCTACAGAATATTCTGCATTTTCTGTTACTGTTTTAAAACTGTTTTCTCCCCCTCAGCAGATAAACCAAGTTTGGTTTTTTTTTCTCAACCACATAAAATCCCAGAGAAGTAAGTTGGTATTACATACAACCAAATGCCAGCTTTCACATTGGAAGTGTTCATTCTTGCCACCTTTGCCGTGATGACTAGGTCAGCGCAGATATGGTGGAAAGGGAGAGAAACGTGAATTCTGACTGATTTCAAAGTAGGGTACTATTCCTCACTAAAGGAGTAGTATAATTATATTAATCAAAATGCTATAAACAAATGTCTTCATATATTTTAAGCTAAAGATAAAAGAAAAAAATAGCAAAAAACTGCAGAAACAAGCCAAAAAGCAAGGCAATCACTTCAAGTAATGATCTCCCTTCTATGTTTCATAGGTTTGAATGACTTAATGTCTTTGCTGGCACCTTCTACAGATATTCGGGTTCTCCTGAATTGTGTGTCTTCAAATCTTCAGGCTTTTGTCATTCAGGTATAAAATTAATTTAATAATTTCAGAAAAGAAAGAGTGATCACATCATTGATCCTGCTACATGCTGACTGTCACTAGTCTGCAGGAGCTGCATTGTACACTAGAACCTGACCAGATTGCAGATTTGCATAAATACGATTTACGCACGCTGCAGAAAAAGGGGGAATTAATTGTCAAACAAAAATTCCATCTGTGAAAACAACTACAAGCATAATTCTGTGCATATATCCACTTAGGCGGTTTCAGTATCTGCTCTCATTTCTTAGACACGTAACAGTCCCTAAGAAACCAAAATTTAGAAGAAAAATGTTAGTAAAAATGAAAAGAACACTTCATGATTCCTGAAATCATTGATTCATGAAACTGTTGGCTTTTAGCAGGTGGTAGGACAGTGATAATTTCTAGTGCAATGTCTCTAGTTCTTGTGAAAGGCTGAAGTATGATCATCCTCGCATACGCACCTTTCCATAAGTTATCAACTCTACCACCCCTGTTCCATCACTGACTCAGAATTAGCAGTAGCTTGATGGCACCACTGCATTCAGGTGGTTGCCAGACCAATTAACTTCGGTCTGGGTGGTGGTTAAAGTTTGGGGTTTTTTTCTGAAGCAGCAGGATAAACTGTACTTCTTTAGCTTGCTTATTTAATTTTATTTTTTTAAATTAAGAATAGTATTTTGTAGTTCTGTGGCGCCTTCATCTTATAGAACCCTCAGCTACCTCATGGTCTGGCATACAGAAGACAGAGCAGAGTGTTCCTGGGGGTTCACAGTTATAGGGCATAAGGCAATAGACACAAGTTGCACGAAAGAACATTTCCAGTAGATAAAAAGGAAAAAGAAAAAAAAAACAAAACCACGACAGTAGTTAAGCGTGGGAAGAGCTGTGGAACCTCCATCTTGGAGGTATTCAGAACCTGGGCTGCACAAGGCCTGAACTAAGTTGGCCATGCTTTGGACAAGAGGTTGGATTAGATGATGTCCAAAGATGCCTTTCAACCTAAGTTATTTTACAATTCTAACCAAAAACCTGCTTGTTCCACCTTTGTATCCAGTTTGTACAGGGAAATACTCTGCAACACGATAAGGAATTCTTTTAATCAACTTTATCATTAAGGAATTTTTTTCTCTACCTGCAGCCAAGCAGGAGTAAAGAGGAGTTCATAAAACTGGCATCGGATTTCCAGTTGAGATGGAGCTTCCTACTGAGTGCAGTAAGCAAGGCTATGACGCTCAACTATGCAGACAGTTTCGGTACGTAGGGTCTTTCTGACTCTCATCTGATATGCCCCTCCGTTTCCTGAGATGGCAGAGACACCAGACCGTTTTAACTGACACAAATCCACGCTACAGTCATTAGGGACATCACTCTCCTACTCTCTTCCTCGCACCAAGGAGCACCGTTCACCTGGTGATGTGGCTAGCCAGGTCTGGGAAATGAAATGCATAGTTTTTGACCAGATCAGTTCTCTGAGCCAAACACTACGATGAGCAGAAGGGAGGAAAATAGGAGCATGCAGACGGATGGTGGGAAGGGCAGGACTCCCTCTTTTGGCAGAAGCCGTCCTTTGTCTGTGGAAAGCTGGGGACCAGCAGCCTGAGGTGTGAGCCTCTGCTCTCCCTCCCTGCAAGAGCTGCAAACCCCAGCAGATGGGTGTGATGGACAGCTGGGGCCACTAATATCCCAAACCTTAAAAATTCCAGGTCTCTCGAGTGATAGCTCCCAGTCCTTCAGGTTCTTCCTGTATAATACAGCCGGAGCAGAGCCACTGCGATAGCTACTTGCCAAAAAGGCAGTTGGTTCCTCTGGCCACAGCTACATGCTCCTTCCTTTTCCTTATGCTTTACACTGATGTAAGTGCTTGCCTAGCCAGCAGCAAGACTGCTTAAGGGTTTAAACTAACTGAAAACTAGTAATTCCTTTAGCTGGGTTAGTTTTCTCTCTGTTTTAGGGCTCTGAGCTGTCAAGCATCAAAGCCATCCCACAGCAGTGCAAGGCAAGAGAAGTGACGGGACTGTGCAGTCACTTTCACTCCAAGTGGCTTGAAGTGGCACAACCATGTCTTGAAGCAGCTCAGTCTGCCTCTTCCATTTCTGTATTGCGTCAACCCTACCTGCCTTTCTCTTCATTTGTAAAACCTTTCAGAGGATCTCTCTCTATTATTCGCTCTGCAGAAATGCACCATCTCCTGTGAGCAGCATCTGATCCCAAACTGCATGAACCGCTTTTTAGATTTTTCAAAGGAGCACCTTCGCATTTTTTTCCTGTTCTGTTGGATGGGGCTTCACACAAATAGCCAAAGAAAACCTCATTATCTTCTTTGAAACTCCCCTTCAAAACCGTACTTTCATGTGTTTCCTACAAAGACATAACAAAGGGGGATGTTAAGGTTGTTGCCTTTTGTATTCTTCAGTATTCTTCCCCATTAACGTCTGTGTTTGTGCATGTATGTGCGCACCCTTTTTCTGCCTCTAGCTGCTACCTTTTGCCTTATATTTAGATTGCAAACTCTCTGGAGCAGGATCAGTTTTGTTCTGTGTCTGCAGGGATCATAGCACAGCAGGGTCCCTTGTCCATGAACTGCTGCATTACAGTAATAATAAAATAATCATCCCTCACTCTCTCTCTCTCCAGAGGAGCTCTGCATGAAACTCTCCAACGTTACATGCAATATTTTGGGCAATGAGTAAATTGGGAATGAATTCCAAGAACAGCCCGGGAAGAATAATGTTTATTGAAATTCCCCACAATGATGAAATCCCCTTCCCTCTTTCGACCGCAGGAAGAGTTTAATGAATTGCCTCCCTGTTCTGCAGTTGTCAGTGGCTGGGGACAGAACTGATGGAGATCATCCCTTTCTCTGCTGAGCCTTCCTTAAACTGGTTACAAATTATATTTTCATCCCACTTACGACAGCCTTCCTACGATACTTCAGTAGCACTAAAACTGAATTTATTCCCACATATAAAAGAGTTAAAAATTGTCTTTTAATCTTTCTCTATGATGCTCCAATTAATTCGAACATTATTATCTTCTTTCTTAATACCTTTGGTTCTTTAAGATGTTGGACTATATGACCTAACAATGTTCCTTCTTTCCCAGGTTTTATCCGGGTAGGATTTTGAGTTTTAGTAGACAAGGCTGAAGCTGTTACGTTAACAAGTCATCTGGTATAAAAGTTCAGTACTCAGGGTCATCGCTTTTCAGAAATTTCTTAAATCTCAGCATTTCTTGCAGGAATGGTGGGCAGCCTATGAGTCAAGATATAGAATGGAATCATAGAATCACAGAATAGTTT